ATCTTATGTATACATTTATCTGCCGGCTAAATGTTTCCAAAAATGAGATTATTGTGGGCGTATCAAATATAAGGGTCAGTTGTACTACACGTTATCAGTCCAACTTGTGGAGACACAGGTATTGTTGTAGTTTTTGCAATGGATTAATTCAATTTATTTTTTGTATCTTCTGTTACTTCTTTTCTTTTTTTTGTTTGTTTTTTTTTTTGGACCATGAGTCTGCAATATTAGTCTGATTATAATGATAATTAATCAGCACATGTTGTGTTAAGCTACACCACCATCCAAAAGTTATCAACATAGGCTGCCCATTCTGTTTTTCTGTTTTAGTTTTTTGCATTTTCAATGTCATTCGTTTTATCACGTCAAATATATTAGATATAATTTTCACATTTGTTATTTCACGGATTTATGTGCTGATGTTTGTTATAATCAAATTCAAAACGAGCTTGAAAACAAAACTGTAGTTTTACAGACCACCGCTTGCGATCATTGCAGTGAGCATTGGCCTCGGTCGGCGCTGTCCGTGGTGCTGATGTGTTGTGGTATGAACTGTAGCGTGTTCAGTCTTGTGAAAAAGATTGTGTGTGGATCGTTCAGATGATATGTTGTTTTGTTTCGACATTTAGCAATAATATAACGCTCACTTGATCATAGAATCCTCATATCGTGTGCGTAATTTGACAACACCCGATTTTTCCTTTTTTTTCTTCTTCTTTTTTTTTTGCATTTCTATTTCAACTATTTTGATATCATTGCTTGGCGTTTTAGGAATATGTTTCAGGAATATCTCATTTGGTCCTCAAGATGTCGCTGTTTACCTGTGCTTCCAATTTCTTTGCGTTATCTCCACCCATTTGCGTTGCTATTTGGCGAATGCGTGTGTGACTGTACGGAGATTGTCTTTCGTCTTTGTTAGAACGGCTGAATATGAGCTGGTGTTCAAACTGATTTATATTCTTTCTCATTTGGTCGTCATTTTTTTATCAAGTAGTCTGCGTTTTGTCCACAACCGAACATGATGGATAAAGGATTGTTGGCAACGATACTCGGTCTTTTCTTCTCCATCTTTTTTATGGCGCACACCGCTTATGGAGACGTGAGCTATTCTTTCCCGGAGGAGATGAAACGCGGATCTGTGATTGGAAATATAGCAAAGGATCTCGGGCTCGATGTGAACAGACTGTCATCTCGTAAGGCTCGCATTGATACTGAAGGTAACAGAAAACGATACTGTGACATTAATCTGAATACTGGAGAACTGACCGTAGCGGAGAGAATCGACAGGGAAGGGCTTTGTGGAAAGAAAGATTCGTGTGTTTTAAAACAAGAGCTCGTGCTGGAGAATCCCTTAGAATTACATCCTATTAGTCTTCGGGTTCAAGATGTCAACGACAACAGTCCTTATTTCGGTAAAGATGTGATTAATCTGGAGATAAATGAATCCGCTGATAAAGGCAAGCGCTTCCTGCTTGAAGAAGCAAACGATGCGGATATTGGGCAAAATTCTGTAAAAAGCTATTCAATTCAAAATAATGAATATTTCGTTTTGTCAGTGCAAAGCAACTCCTTTGGAGAGAAATACTCCGAAATCATTTTAAATAAAGAGCTGGATCGAGAGCAGCAGAAAGAGGTGACTTTAATTCTTACTGCGGTAGACGGCGGGACTCCACCGAGATCAGGGACTGTAGCCATACACGTCACTGTGCTGGATGCTAATGATAATGCTCCAGTCTTTAGTCAGGCCGTCTATAAAGTCAGTCTGCCTGAAAATGCTCCTGTAGATACTGTAGTGGTGACAGTGAGCGCTACTGATGCTGACGAGGGACAAAATGGAGAAGTGACGTATGAATTTGGTCATATTTCAGAAAATGACATGACAGTTTTTTCTCTCGACCAAAAAAATGGAATAATAACTTTAATAGGGTCTCTTGACTATGAAGATGAATCCTCGTTTGAGCTACCAATTCAAGCCACCGATGGACTTGGCCTGGTATCATATGCAACAGTTGCTATTGACGTATCAGACATTAATGATAACGCCCCTATAATAATAGTAAAATCTCTTAACAGCCCCATTCCTGAGAACGCGTTACCCGGTTCAGAGGTTGGCATCATTAATGTTCAGGACAGAGACTCTGAGAATAACGGACAGGTGCGCTGCTCCATTCAGCAAAACGTCCCGTTTAAACTCGTTCCTTCAATCAAAAACTACTATTCTCTGGTGACCACAGGTGAATTAGACCGCGAGCTGCTCTCTGATTATAATATTACAATCACTGCTACTGATGAGGGCTCTCCGCCTTTATCTTCCACTAAGAATATTCACTTGACTGTATCTGACGTCAATGATAATCCACCTGTATTTGAGGAGCAGAATTACAGAGCTCATGTGCAAGAAAATAACACACCGGGCTCCTCTATTTGTTCAGTATCAGCTACAGACCCGGACTGGAGACAGAATGGCACTGTAGTTTATTCTCTGTTGTCCTCTGATGTCAATGGCGCACCGGTGTCCTCCTTTCTATCCATTAACGGAGACACCGGGGTCATTCATGCCGTGAGGTCGTTTGATTACGAACAGCTGAAGAGTTTCAAAGTGCTCGTGTTAGCCAGAGACAACGGTTCTCCTCCTCTGAGCAGTAACGTGACCGTGAGTGTCTTCATATCGGATGAGAATGACAACTCCCCTCAGATATTATACCCCTCTCCGGAAGGAAACTCCTTCAT